CTGTCTGTCCCAAATTTCTCCGCTGCTTCAAATGCTAGGACGCTCGGATCGGTTTTAAAGTGTATGCAAGATCTGAGGCTACAACTTAACAGAGTCCGATTTTTAATTCGCTCCTAATTTGCGTTTTTCGACAGCTGTTTCGGTAAAATACCCGAAAATCTTCGGGCTCTAGATATAGAACGGTTAGCGATTAGTAAAAATTAAAGGAACGATCAAAAAATCCGGATCTGTTATGTTGTAGTACCAGATCTTGGCTACATTTTAAAACCAACCCGAACTTTCCAGTATTTGAAGCGGCGGAGAAATTTGGAACAGACAGACACATCCATACTCTTAAGCTAACTACCCGTAGACTCAATGTATCGAGCTTGAATTTTTACTGTGATGTGCCTGAATTGGTATACATCTTTCTTCAAAATTTCATCAAGATTGGATAGTCTAAAATGAAAATAAATTTCTGAGGACGAGTCCCCCTTAAACGATTTTGCTTTTCAACATTTTGTTTTCTCTTATTTATAGTTTTTAAAACTTTCTTTCTACCTTCTCCTACTTTCTTTTCACTTTCTTTTACTTTCTTTTTACTTTCTCTCTACTTTCCTTTACTTTCTTTTTACTTTCTTTTTACTTTTTTTCTACTTTCTTTTACTTTCTTTTTACTTTCTTCTACTTTCTTTTACTTTCTTTTCGCTTTCTTTTACTTTCTTTTCCCTTTCTTTCACCTTCTTTTGGACTTTCTTATCAGCTCTTTTTTGTGGGGTACCTTAGATCCTCAAGTCCTACCATTTATGGGTACACATGGGTCCTGAAGGGCTGTTATACAGTGGTACCCATAGGTCCTAAAGAGCTATTATATAGGAGTACCGAACGGGAACCTCTATAAAACAGCCGTTGAGGATCTATGGGTACTCCTATATGGTACTCCTAGAGGACCTGTAGGTACCCTCATTATATAGCACTTGAGGGCCTAAGGGTACCCTCCTTATATAGGGCTTAAGGACCCAAGGGTATCCCCATTATATAGGACTTGAAGACCTAAAGGTTTCACTTTCCTTTCCTTTCTTTTAGGAAAGAAAAGTTAACTAACTTTCAACTTTCCTTTTTTTTTAGGAAAGGAAAGTGCCACCCCTAATTACAATATCAGTATTAAACCTAATGATATAAACTATTATAATAGTTAGAAGTCTGAACTATCTACCTCTCGAACATAAGTGATTCTTGCTTTATAGTTAATGAATCACTGCATATTTCTCTGACAGTACGTAAAATATATCCCTTTCCATATCGGAACTGTGCATAAGTTTCTGGGA